CACCCCCCCACACACACACACCAGCATCTGGCATTTCTCTGTTGCCCTTTCTTTTTTCTTATTTCCTCCTTCTCTTTCTTTTCTTACTCCCTTTCCTCCTTTCTTTCTCTCTCTGTTTAAACACTTTTTTAAAAACAGTTTTGCGATGCTTTCTGTCCCAGACACTGCCCTTGTCGCATTTCTTTCTTTTGTTTTCTTTGCTCCGTTTTATAACTTAGCCAACATTTTTGGCCATCAATCCCTTCTTTAATAATATGTTTGGGAAATGCTTTATCATTACTCATCAAGATTTGCTTCCAGTGTGCTAGACATATGAAGTGTAGAACTGGGGGTTTGGTTGGTTGATACTGGTTCTGTCTTGGATAAGACTGGATCATTGGAGACCTGTTTCTAGCCTATTATCTCATTTGATGCAACAGAAAATCTCTTTTCTGCTTCCCTTTGAAAATATGTTGGATGAAAATATCTGAGCCCATCTTGCCCTTCCCTGAATGGCAGGAAATTTTGGCAAATCTCTCTGCTGGTGTTCCTATGCTTCTTCTACTCAGTAAGGAGACAGGAGTCTACTGGCCAGCAGCCATCATGGGATCAACCCCACCCAACTGAACACAGACTTTGTACCAAGACATACAAGTACTGGAATAGACAGACAGATCAGACACACAGAGGAAAGGAATGGGGGTCTGTTGTCTCAAATACCTAAATAGGCTTGGAACTAAACTCACAGGGGTGGCAGAAGCCAGGAGAGGTGTTCAAGCCATGTGGATGCCTCCCCGCTCTTGCCTTCCTTCACTGTGTACGTGCTGTGGTTGGAACCTTGGGTAATCTAATTGTTATTGATTCGATCTTTCTGTAGGAAGAAGAATTGAAGCAGGGAGTAAGTTATGTCCCATACTGCAGGTCTTAACTAACTGTGGAGGGCTGTCGTCCTGCTTTGGCCTCTAATGTATGTCCGTGCTTCAGTTTGGAAAGAAAAAAAAATACTAATTTGCTTCCATTTCAACGTAGTGCTTGAATTGAGATTATAAATTCTGTTATAAACTGTCACTGATGTCGGCAACAAATGAAGACCTGTTTCATGTCTAGAAGAGAGAACAACTTGTGATTCATTGGGAAAATTTTAGATCCCCAAGGGTGTTAAGCTTCAAATCCATGTCATGCTCTTTGAGGTTATTGACCAGACCCTTCTCTTAGCAGAAGGCCAGCCGCTAGAGCTGCACAAAGGTCAATGTTGTCTCCCCAGCTGCAGCCCACAAGAGCAAACCTCCACACTGTGAACATTCAGTTCAGCTTCCATTTCTCTGAAAAGGTGTAGAAACTCTTTTCATAAGAATCAGGTAATAAATCCCTTTCCATCACATAACTGCAACACCATGCCCTCTACCCTGCGTTCAAAGATATGTTCAACTGTGTAAGACTAGGCCTGGTAGCTGAATGTCCACCTTGTATCTCTTTAGTTTCCTTCAAAGCTGTTTGTTAACAAGTCTCTATGAGGAATAGGCAACTTTCTTCCCTTCCATTCTTACCGAGGACCCTTCTGCTCAGTGGTTTCATAAGGTCATTCCACACATCTTTTTTCTGGACATAGAGGCATCATGACTGTCTGACCATGTCATACCCTGAAGCCCTGTGTGTGACCTTGTGGTCAGGTTCAGAAGCAAGCAGAAGGAACAGCACACTGAGGGAAATTACAATAAAACTAGAGCAAAAGAAAAGCAGCTTGAATACCTGTGCATGTACCAAAGTATATGATGATATGTGCCAGTTCCTTGCATTATTTAAAGATTTAACATTTTATCCATGGTTAATCAGAACTTCAACCTGTCCAATCTCAACAGATCTGTTAATTCTTCTGTATGTTCTTTTCTATTATTCATTCTGTGTGTTTATGTGTAACAAAGAATGTTTGCAAAACCCTGGAAACTTTTTAACTCTTCATTCCCAAGGTCTGTAAAAGAAAAAAAAATAAGAAAGGAAAAGAACCGTGTTAAACTAATCTGTAACTCGAACAATAAAGACAATATGCGGCATTATTTTGTATATTATGAAAAAAATTACCTTATTGAGCTGACGCCAAATTGTCACCAGGGATGACTCCCTTGTGTTAAAGATGCACTGATGTGTAGCCTGTATCACTGTCCATCCCTGCATCCCTGGGGGATGGCCACTGGACTTAGATCATGGCAGAGCAAATGCCTAGTCTTGATATCTCTCTTTGCAAACAGGCTTTTCCCTGCATGTACATGGAACCAGAAAATGCTGTTCTAATCCAACTTTCTCCTCCCACTGGATAGACAGGGCAGTTTCCTTGCTTTAGAGTTCATTTCTCTCAGAAAGCCTTCCCTCCATTTCCCAAGCAGGATATTCTGAAAGGCTTCTGTGGGCCAGACAGTTGGTGGATGCACAGAGCCAGGCTGTGGAAGTGCCCTTTAGGTAGATCTTTGGCCCCACCTCCCTCTCCAGCCCTTTCCTGTGGATCCCCTCCCAGCCTCTGCGCTTTGAAGGGTCACAGCTGTGGGCACTGCAGCACTGATGGAGGTCATCTGTCAGTGCCACCCAAATGTGGGGAGCACATTGCTCCTCTCTCACCTGCTTGGTTTCTACTCAGGCTTGTCCTTAAACTGAGCTGGGGTCAAGGTCACTTACACCACAACATCGAAACAGCAGCTCCATAAAACAGAAATAGAAGAATGTGGGACCAAGGATGAGAAAATGGGACTGTGCCCCAGAAAGGGTCAGAGGGTTCTTCTGAACTCTTAGCAATAAAACAAGAGGGAAATAGTAATCCAGGGTTTTATCAGCATAAAAATACCACTTCTCGAAGCTCAGAATATCTACTGTGTTAAGTACTAAAGCAAGCCTTCCTTAAGAGCTTTATAGAAACGTGTTGAACAATACAGTAGAAAAAAATGTAGTCATAGTTTGCAAGTGGCCATGGCTTACATTGACCTTTAGTCAAAACTAAAAACATAACCCCATAAAATCCAGCCCCGTTGAGTTGGATCTATGAAAAAAGTGAACAAATTCCTTCCAAACTGAGTTCTTGTGGGATAGCATGATCTAAGGAGAGAATTTAGAGGTTTTAGATTGGCATCTACTTCTAAATTCTGTTTTATGAGTCTTTCCCCTTCAGGAACATTCTCTTTGTAAAAATCAAATTCAAAAATGCCCCATACAACAAATCATGCTTGATTTAATAACCTCTGCTTTGTTATAAATTCGTGTGGTTCAATGTAGCGTTTTATTATGCTGGTATTTATATTCCTTACATATACTGTTTCTTGTTATAGGTAATGCATGAAACTATGCCCCATGAGGACAGAACATGAATTTTAAAAATAGTGCCTGTAATATAATATGATTATGGTATCACAAGCAATAAATTGTGTTTTTTACAAAACCTGAATCCAAGTTATCCTACCCTCTTTCTTCCTTGTGCACCCTTAAGATTTACTGGAGGAGCTATAAAATGAGCTCTCATAAAAACAATCTTAAGGGCGAAAGCAGCTGCCTGTAGCTGAAGTGGCAACATGTTCGCGAGTTTCTGGTATAGTCCCAGTTCCAACTATTGTGTACAGGTCTAAAGCCGAGTATCTTAACTTTGAGTTTGCAAAATAAAGCCTCACTGATTTTCTTAGCAGGATTACAGCAGATAGGCCTGAATTACAGAGGCCTCTGCTTTAGCTCACAGTGGTAGGAAAACTGAGAATGTAACCTAACCTGACCGTTTCATACACTACGGCAGTGTGCGCCTCCCAAGATTACCTGGGATATTCTAAAGGACAATGGGTGTGAAAACCTCTTGTGAAAATGCTATCTGAACATCAAATATATATCTAGACATAGACAGTCATCTATAAACTTTTCAAATTTTTGAACACATATATCTATTCACTTATTTTTTTTTCCTAAAAATTAACTAACAGAGTCTCAGTCTGTGGAAGAAATGTGAACATGACTTTCAATTTGTTTAGATCTCTTATAATTGCTTTTAACAGTAGGAAACTATCCTTATGCTTCAGAAGTTACAGAAACATCCCAATAAGATTGCCTTGCTTCTGTTAACATCAGATATGTCCCTAGATATACGAATGTCTGTAGCATTTGCTGTCAATACATTCCTGAGTACATTTTCAATAGGTGGTAGAATGAATGACTACGAGTGTCAATGCCCTGTACATTACACAACATACCACAAATACTTCCTGGAGGCGTACATTGCATAAGAGAGGTAATTGATATAGGGTACTTAAGAGTCAGGAACCAAAATCAGGTTGTGTTTATTTTCAGGAATCTTTCTTTCTTTGGATTCATAACAAGGATTAATTTGAACATTTTAAAAACCTTGGGCTCAAACTGGTCCCTATTTGCTTGGGAGAAGAGTCTACCATCATTCAAAATTCCATGTCTTAGTCCCATTCAAATGCAATACAGAATATGAGCAGGCCACAAAGAGCCAACTTTCCAGCCTTGGTTTCTCCTTCCATGATTAGCCTTCCTTATTCTATTGATGGCTTTCCCACAGAGCTGATAAGTCCTCCACAGAAAAGTGAGGGGCAAAGTTTACCTTGAGATGCTGTCTGCATAGAGAAACTAGTATCTAGTACTCAAGAATATACAATGTACTTTATCAGACTATCACACACACGCACACAATCTTATTTTTAAAATTGTGTTTGATTGATTCTAGAGAAGTAGGGAAAAAAGTTCTTTTGTTCAAAACCATTGGACACTGACCCTCTCATTCAAGATATCATCTACACTGACAGCTCCCCAGCCTGGCTCCCCCTCTTAGCTTCCTTATTTTCTCTGCTCCCCATATGGAACCTGGTACTAGCTTCAGCACCAACAGTCTCTCTGCCATGTTTCTGATGCTCTTCACAAGTCCTAAGTCTTGCTCAAGCTTTCCCAAAACTCAGACACTCTTCTCTCCTTTCCATACTATCACCTTTCCTGCCCAGATATCTTCTCGATAGACACCTGAGTCAAACGCTGCCTCGTTCCTGACCATTCTGAATCAACCATGTCCTAGTCACCCATTGCATTTTGTACACAGCAGCCCTTTCAAAGCCCAGTAATCAAAATCATGATGATGATGATGGTGACATTTGGTGACGTGGTGCTTCCTCGTTTTCCCAGGCTGTGGGATACAGCTAGTCGGGGTCAGGCTGCAAGATGCAGGGCCGGGTAGTCTCCTCAGCCAGACCTTGGAGGCAGACTGTGCAGGTTCTAGTGAGAGGATGGGTAATGAACAGGCTGCACTTCACCAGGGCCAGTTTAGTCCACGGTTACACATTTGCCCCTTTCCTTGAAGCATCCTTCCTTCCTGTATCTCCAGAGCTCAGGAGAAACCAAAATACTCCCTGTAAAACATGGAAAATTTATGGATCTTACCAGGCTTTTGAAAAATTGATGGGAAGCAGGTGGAGTGGAGTCCGAAGATGCATGTAGAAATTAATTTTTCATTTATTCTCTAGGAAGAGAGCTATTTAAATTGCCAACTGTGATATATGCTTTCCTTCATCCATAAATCAACCCTCCTTGGGAATGTTGGATCCATATATTGATCTGCATGGACCATTGTCTCTTATGTCTTTCCTCCATTAATCACTGAGTAATTTCTAGGGAAGAGTTTTCTCAGGGAATTTGTGGGAATTCACTCTAAAGTTCACATCAGACAGCCATGCTGAATGGCCAGGCAACAGAAAACATGTGAAAATGAAACCCAGTGATCTGTCCCATTGCCCTTTAAGAGTGGGACATAAGCAACACCAGAGATGCCATATAGTAGGTGCTAAGTATCAAACAAGGCAGTGTCCTGTCATCGAGAGTTGGGGACATGGTTACCAGGCAACCAGCATCCTACTCTGAGAACTCTGGGTAAAAGATGGACATGACTTGGGAGGAACAAGTTTCAGAAAAGGTGGAGTTAAATCTTTTTGTCAACTACAGACTCTCCCACCAAAATTGTTTACATAATCAGACTACTTGAAATTGCATCAGCAATTAGATAATCACTTGGATATGACTTAGGCATGATGGCTATTAGCCGTTCATACATTGGTGTCATTTAGATTCAATCAGCAATTTTTCTCTTAACAAATAACCACACCCAGTAATTTTCCTCTAACACGGATCCACTGTTGGGAGTTTTAGAGACAGGAAACAGAAGAAGAAGGGAAAGGTTACCTGAGGAATGGGTACTGAGCAGGAAGATACGGGGTTGGGAATGTTTCAGACATACAAACATCTAAGAGAGCCCAGTGCACCATAGCAGGCAGGCTCTCACACCTCCCTACAGATATCAGCAGAGGTAAGAGCCCCATGAGGACTCTGTGCTGAAGAGGATGGCACAGCCAAGAGGACTCTGGCACAAAATATAAGCAGAACTGGGTGGGACCATCCTTGCAGAGCCTGTCAAAGACTGCAATGTGGCCATAACCGCCACAGCTAAAGGCACTGGGTGCCATAGTGTTGCCGAATTCTTCATTTGTTTCGGGCTTTTGAAGAGTAACATGATGTAACTACATCAGTAGTTTCGCATCTTGTGGTCAAATGCTCAGTGCAATGTGTGTCTCTTAGGCTTGCTTAGATTTCAGACTTACAAATGAGAGCTTATTGGCCCTGACTTCACAGCCCAAAGGCCTTCCTTGCCACCCTGGACACCCACACCTCTCTACAACCCAACAAGGAAAATGTGTTACCTGGCCTGCCATGAGGCCAGGGGCACTGTGCTGTGGCCATGGTGGAAGCTTTCGGCCTTTAGTTGCTAAAATTTCCCAAATTTAATAAAATATGGCTAAAAGCGTGCGATTCTTGTCACTTCCTGAGAAGACCCTGGGACACTGTGGGAAAGCCCCAAACTTGCAATCTGCCACTCCTTAGCTTGGAGATCTTGCGTGTGTCAGCTACCCTCTCTGCGCCTCCCTATATTTACCCCCTGGGTGAGAATAATAGCACCTCATTGACTTGTAAGAGGGCTAAAGTGCTTTATAGATTTCAAATGGCTGTTCAAACATAGTATTATCTTTTTTACTGTACTAGGAAAATAAAATAAGACAGTGTGTAGGAAAGTATTCAATACCCTGTAAAGTACATACAGAAAAATGGAGTCCTTTTTTGAGGTGTGAAGTTCCTAACACGAAAGATCTGGCTTCCCAGGGTTGAATTGGTGACCCATGCTGGACAGCCAAGAGGAGCCTATGGCTATCACCCTCTGTCCCACTTCATTTCCCGCCCCCAGTCACTGATCCCTCCTGTGACTGAAGTCTATTGGTGAGGAAGACAGACAAGAAAAGTCCAGGAGTGCTTCCCAAGCCCTACCTTGGACAAGGTGCATAGGAGAGGTAGCCAGCAACTGACTAACATCTATTTCTGTGATGGACACTCCACCAGCCATGGTTCATAAAGAGTTCTGTAGCCCAGAGGACTCGGAGTCCCTGGGCTCAGCGACGGGCCCAGCTACTATTCGCTACTTCTCCGGGGCAATCATTTTTGCTCTCAGAGCCCTGAGATCCACAACTGCACATCTGGAGTGGTGATAACCACTTCATGGGTCATGGGGAAAGATCCACAGGCTGTAGATAAAAACCTTTGGGCAGGAGGGTGTTCAGCTCCACAGAGAAATGATTCATCATTGACGCGGGAGCTTGAAGTGCAGGGTTAGCTCAGACGAAGAAGGTTTCAAAGACAGGGGGCTGAGCTGCTGGTTTCTAGAAAACCCAGGCCCCTCTTTGAGCAGGCTGAGGAAAGCAGGCCAGCATCAGCACCCAACTCCTCCTGCCCGAGCCTGGACAGACCATTGCAAACAGGTACTGTGACAAGTGTAAGACGAATCCACAGCCCATGGGGCAGCACATGAGTTCTGGACCATGCTCTGGTTTGCCTTGTTTTTGTTTCTGGATTTTCTTCGCTTTATAGATTTGACAATGATATGTGCTGCTGAGCCCTGGAGAGCTAACAGCATGGCGTTTTACAGGAATGGTGTGTGTGCGTGTGGGCATGTGTGGTGGGTGTGGGGTGTTTAACTGCAAACAGCCGGACCCAAAGCAAAAGTCTAAATAGAATATTCCAGAGCAGTACTCTCGTGCTGCAGGTCTAAGAGTGTGAACAGGTAGGCAATTTCTCTCTGGCTTCTTCTGTAAAAAGAGTTCTCACTCTGGCTGGCCAAAGTCAACAGACTGGGAGGGAACTGCTAAGAGTGCTTGGTCGGCTACATGTGTACTCCAGGGTCTCCCTGCATGTATTACATGCATGTTTGACTTTCTACTAATTACTGAAACCAGGAGTCTGTTTTCAAGGACCTCATTGTAAAAACAAAGCTTTAAAATTCAAGGTCTCCCACCAAAGATCTCAACGCAGAAATAAGTGTTCTAGTTCTCTCTTTTTTTTTTTTTACCCCTTTCTAAATCCTGCTAATCTCACTCTTCTGCTAAACTGCATCTCTCTCAAAGGTCTAGAGAAAAGGGTGTTGCCCTCAGAAAGCAGTAACCAAAAATTAGAGACCACAACCCTTGCAAATCAAAACCTCAATGAGATAGCACCTCCTTATACTAAGAATGATGATTATAAAAAAGACAGAAGCTGACAAGTGTGGGCAAGGATTCAGAGAGAAGAGAACACTGTTGGTAGGAATGTAAATTAGTACAGCCATTGTAGAAAATAGTAGGTTAGAACTGCCCTGGGAGTCAGCAATACCACTGAATACCAGTGAATTATCCAAAGGAAATGAAGTCAGTATATCAAAGAGACATCTACACAACCATGCCTGTCACAATTCTGTTCACAGTGGTAAGAGAATCAAAAGTGACCATCAGCTCATGAAGAAATAAAAAAAATACAGTAAATGTGTGTGTGTGTGTGTGTGTGTGTGTGTGTGTGTGTGTGTGTGTGTGTGTGTTAGTGGAATATGATTCAGCCCACAGAAATTCTGTCATTGCAGCAACAGGGGTAGAGCTGAAGATGATATGTTAGATAAAACAAGTCTGGTACAAAAAGACAAGCCCCACATAAGCTTGCCCATATGTGAAATATAAAAAATTGATGCGAAGAAGTGGAGAGTAAAATAGTACTTGTCCAAATCTGGGGAGAGTAGAGCAAAGGAGATGATGGAGGAAATGTTGAAGGGTGGGTACCAAGATGCAGTTAGACAAGAGGAAGACTCTCTGGCATGCAACTCCTTGGTAGGAGGACTACAAATAACCACATCATTTCCGAGGCAGCCATAAACTTGAGTGAGAGCAAGGGTAAAGGGGTACATGGGAAGAAGGGAAAAGGAGGTGCAAATAATATAATCACATTATAATTTCCAAAGATAAAAACTTATTTTAAAAGCCAGAAGAAAGCATTTTGAATGTTTTTTATCATGAAGAAATGATAGACACTTGGAGAGGTAGACAATATGTACATATGTAAAATCATTAGTTAAATTTGGTCAATGAAGGAAAGAATAAAAGACAGCAAGATTTCTTTTCCTGCTTCCCCATTCAGATCACTGATTTGCAGAGTAATTTCACAATGTCAGCTTTAATTGTAAAACAGAGATTAAGCAATGTACATCTCCATGCAATTACCTGAGACAATATGAAATATTGTGAGACATGATCTGAGTTGTGCCTAAAGATGAGGCCAAAGCAGACTGGAAATTAGGGAACAAATGTACCATATCTGTACTGAATAGTCTCCTAATCCATATTGAAGACTTTCTCCTGTGTGTCTTTTATTCTATGTAGGACATGCTTCCCAGAGAAATATACACACCTTGCAATTATCTCTTTAACAACAGCTTTGTGGCAAGGACAAAGATATCATATTGTAGAACGGTCTGTATGAACACACACTTCAGATTATGTATGATAGCTCCCTAAGACAGTCTACACCTGCAGATAGGTTTAGGGGAGTCTCCTTGATTTCCTGAGGTTTGCTCCTGTTTTGGAATGTTGTCATCACCATTTTTTTTAACATGGGACCTGAGACTTTAGAGAAGGTATGTGGGCATTTCTTGTGAAAGTAAACTAATGGCATGTCTTGTTTCTGCAGACCCAGGGGGCAGGGTCCCCTCGCTCTTCCCCCAGCCACACCATCAGCAGGCCAATTCCCATGCCCATCCGGTCAGCCTCTGCCTGCTCCACACCAACGCACACTCCTCAGGACTCCCTCACTGGGGTAGGGGGAGATGTGCAAGAGGCATTTGCACAGAGTAAGTACCCTCTCCTTTACTGTGTTCTGCTTGTGCCTGGCAAACCATTCACCAAGATCCGTTGAGCAGTAGGTAATCGAGAGTCGTTACAGCCACACGTGGACACTGGCGGCAGCGTCCAACCCTTTGGCTTCTCAGGGCCACATTAGTCATCTACAAAATTTATACTTGAAAAACTGTAGAGTCAGGTTACAAAGAAAACCTCATAATGTTTCAGTAAGTTTGTAGCTTGGGGTTGTGCTGCGGTCACAGCTATCCTGAGCTGCGTGTGATTGCAGATTATGGGTTGGTCATCTCTGTTGGGGAGTCCTATATCTTCTGTCAGAGCCTGACCTATGCATTTTAGAAAGCCACTTGGTGCTTTTCCTTGCTTTACTGTTTGGTCTTCTTTTAGCTTCTGTTGTCCTGCCCCCACTTTTTAGTAAATCTTGGAGTCTCAGGCACAAGAACTCCTTTACAACGTTTCGTGAAGACATTATAAATTCAATCCAGCCTACTCTTATTTCATGACATCATCAAAAAAATCAAGATACAGATTAAATAATCCCAACTTTGAGGTGATGGAAGACAAGGCATCATTTTGCAGATTTCGCATTGAGATGCTCTATAGAGTTGTGTCCTGGCTTCTGTAATCAGAGCTACTTGCTAAGACTATATGGTCAGAAGAAAAGAGCAGAGCTGGTGGCCAGCCTTCTCCACAGAGGACCCTGTCTCTCATTCTTTTTCCAATGATAGATAAAAATTTGACAAAAACAGCAGAAAAGATAAAGCATGTATTTTATCTCACAGGTTGAGGTTGGGTAGTCAAGGCATCAGGAATTTAAAGCAACTGGTCACACCCTGGCCATAGTCAGGAAGCAGGCAGTGAACACATGCATGCTGGTGTTACATCACTCTCCACTTTATTCAGCCTAGGATCCCCATTCCAGGGAATGGCCCCAACCACTAATAAGATGGGTCTTCCCACATCAATTTAAAAAAAAAAAAATCAAGATAACTGTAGATGGAGATTTCCTGTCCCCCAGCTGCTCTCAAATCAACACTCAGAGGCTTAATATTAATTACAAATGCTCAGTCGATAGCTCAGGCTTGCTACTAGCTAACTCTTACAGTTAAATTAACACATATTTCTTATCTATGTTTTGCCACATGGCTTGGTACCTTTTCTCAGTATGGCATGCCCATTTTGCTCTCTCCGCATCTGACTCTTCTGATTGCACCACTCTTCATCCCAGCATTCTCTCTGTCTCAGGCTATCTCACCCAATCTCTTCTTGCCCAGCTATCAGTCAATCAGCTTTTTATTAACAATAAGAGTAACACATATTTACAGTGTACAGAATGATTATTCCACAGAAGATAATCCCTCACAAACATTCTAGGATGCTAATTTAATCTAGATAATCCTTCACAGGTGTGCCTAAAGGTCCATTTCTAGGGTGACTCTAGTTTTGTCTAATTGAAAAGTAACACTAACCATCATAGGCACCCCCAACCAAGTGATTTCAACCTTTCTCTTTCTATCGTTTTACAAGTTTATAGCTATTGAGAAGTCCCCCTCCTGTGAGTCTTTCCAATCAGGCCAATTTCACTGCTAGAAGCAACCACTACTAATGCATAGGCTCTTCCCAGCATTTTTTCTCTGTATAAATAGCTGTGTTCATGTGTGTTTCTAATTCATAGATTCTTCTTCCTTCACACAAATTAGACTGTGTGTTGCACCTTAGTCTGCAATTTACCTTTTCTTTACATTAGAAATATATTATGAATAGCCTCCAAATAGCCAGTTGATGAGTTATGGGAGGAAAACATTGGACTGGCTACTTTAAATCAAAGGAAAACATAAACAAAGACAGAAAGCAAATAATAGACTCCAAGGAACCTTCTCTGGTATATGTGCCAATCAAATTTCACATCTTCAGTTGTGCATAAAAACAGTGAGGCATTTCTCCCAAACAAAAACAGACGAAGGGAATCAGCAGGCAGAAGTATAAATGGCCAGCAAAGGAAAGATGTGCGACCTCACTAGTGATTTCAGAAATAGACATTTTAATCAGAATCATCATTTGCCTAGCAGTGTTTTTAAAATGTTTTTTGACATCAGCCATGTCTAAGGATAGTATCCATGTGTGGAAACAAGCCCTCTCATCCATCATATACAGGGATAAAATGTTAACACAGTTTAATGGGCAACGCTAACAGACTGTTTTCCTCTTTAGTGGAAAAATGGAGGCTTCATGTCAAGTTTCTTCTAAGCATGAATGTCATGCAAGAGCTAGCTACCATGTAATTCACAAAATATGTTTCTTTTTCAATTTTTTTTAGAAAGGAAAATGTTCTTCATCTAAATCAGATTTTAAAGACCTGCAGTATGTTATCTGTTGATGCTTTATATTATGGTTAATGTTTTTTTTTTTTTACTTAGTCTCTTCGGTTTTCTGATTTAAATATATTTATTGTTTTAGTCATTTAATGTTATTTTATGTAATGTGAGAAATTACAGTAGTATATCACCTACAGGCCACCCCTAGCCCACGAAACACTCATGCTATGTAACTTTTTTTGTAAGTGGCGTATTTGGAATCTCGAACCCTTCCTTCCAAAGATACTGTGGTAATTAATGCTTGACTCCATCTCCACCTTCCCCACTCCCATACCAACCTACAAATACCCATTTAACCCTTAGTGTGCCCGATATGTAAGAATAATCTTTTCTGCCATGGACTACCTTCCAGCAGTGCAAGTCCACGTTAGGGTACATCTTCTACCCAGCACCTTAAGAGCAGAAGCCAAAGTCTTTACCCCTTCTCCACTCTCTGGGAGCATTCAGTACATGGTATCCCGATCTCAAAAGGCATCGGTCCTCAAATGGAGATCACTGGAACCCAGTAGGGGACAGAGCCTATGCTGGCCGAGGGCAGGCTCCAGGGTGCTCAGCCACCAGGCAAGGGCTGGGACCACAACTGCTTGGAAACGACAACTCTCCTGGCAATGTGGGTTGTCCTCAGTAGGGCATCCACACCTTCTGATTCACAGGGTGTACCAAAGCTTGTGCCAGGTCACCATGCTGATCCCTCTCATTTCCAAAACCTCCACGTTGGAATGACGAACTCTACAAACCTCATCATTCTCTGGGTCTTTTCACCTCAGGAGGAGTTGATAGACAAGCAGCTTGAAACTGGTTGTGAAGGAAGGGCTGTAACACTTTCAAATTGTTGCTTCTTCATTGAAGGTTCAAGAAGGAATTTAAGGAATGACTTGCTAGTCGCGGCGGATTCCATCACTAACACCATGTCCTCTCTGGTGAAAGAGCTGAATTCAGGTGTGTTTCTGTGTTCTCTCTCTTGTGGGCTTGTTGTGGAAGGGTCCTTATGCTCAGGGTCCCTCTTGGAGACCTGATCATTGTCAAATATAGATTTTTAACGTTTTAAAGGAAAATTTTAATTTATATGTATGCATGTGTCTGCACGTGTGTGTGTGTGTGTGTGTGTGTGTGTGTGTGTGTGTGTGTGTGTGTGTGTGTGCCTGTGTACATGCTTTGTCTACGTGGAAGCCAGACAAGGGATTCTGATCCCCTGGAGCTTGGGTTGTGAATGGTTGTGAATCTCCCAACATGGGTACTGGGAATGGAACTCTGTCTTCTACAATGGCAGAAAGCACTTTTTACCACCGAGTTACCTCTCCAGCCCTGAATAAAGAAAGAAAATGCTGTACACCAAACTATTTTATAGTTCATTCTTTTCAGTACCAACTCTCACCTCAGGAAAAAAAAAAAAAAAAAAAAAAACTGGCTGGTGTCGGACACACTGATGCTGCTGCATGTGGGACCTGGGGACTTGCTTCTGGGCCCTAAGCTTCCCGGGGAGCCTGGGCCTTTATCTCTGGGTCATATGCCTCCTAAGGGGTCACTCTCTGTGTCTTCCATTGCCCACTAGAGGTGGCAAGTGAAACCGAAAGTGCTGTGGATTCTGAATTTGCAAGAACTCAGTTTGAAGGTCTGGTTCCATCGCCAACCTCTGAAAAGGCTTTTCTAGCCCAAATCCACGCCCGAAAACCTGGGTACATTCATAGTGGAGCTACAAGAACCATACACGGTGACATGTAAGTACCCTGTTCTTGGGGGCATTTTCTCAGGTGCAGAGCAATTTGTGGGTGGCCTCTAGAAAGTTTAAAAAAAACAACACTAAAAGGGTACAGTTCCCCTTGAGGCGGAAGGGAGCTGTGTTTAAGTTTGGTACTGGGAGTTCTTCCTTCTTAACAATTTCCAGAGAGCATCAGTGACCTAAAATAATGAGTGCTTAATGAAAGCATTGCTCACCTAAGGCTTTAGACATACTCCAGTAAACTTCCTGTAAGTCAAAAACACATCTAACGCAACTAAGCTGTAGTTTGTTGTGGCCTAGAAACACTGGTAGCACACTGCAGGGCGTCAAGCATTACCCTTCTGACCCATGTGACCAACAGAGGGCCGCAACGACCCATGTGACCAACAGAGGGCCGCAACTTCTTGATGATGCCAAATCCCAAGACGGAATCATACACATATTGCTAGTTTTTCTGGGAGATACTAATTCAAGACTCAAAGTTTGGTCTCTAGTGAATACATATCACATTTGTATCATAGTAAAATTGGAAACAAACCCTAAGTCACACGTCACTTGCAGTAAAGAAGAGGGAAAGCATTCTCCCAGGCCACATATGCCACTTCAGAAGTGAAGTCATCTTGTCTTCTGACTTTACTAATTAGGGGACAGTCGTGATGCTAGAATGGCATTGGAGAGAAGTCATTAAACACACGGAATCTCTTTATAAAGGAGCCCAGTTTGATCGACTCATCAAATATGTATAACGCTGTCCTTCAGAAGCCGTTTGCAGAGGTTGTTATCACAAATAGCTGCGGATTATCTCCTCTATATGAATAAAAGTCACAGATGGGCAAGAGGCAGCTCCCCAAGCACTGGTGGCCCTGAGTTCCAGAGGCTCAGGGCTCGGCTTCCAGATTCCAAAGTGTCTGGCTCCAAGTCTTGAGAACTAAAGGCTCCACACTGTCCAATGTGGAGGAGGCTTGCAGCTCTGGGCCTAAGTATCAGTGCTCGGGGGCTATGGCGACACTTCCTGAAGTCAGAACCCTCGGATTTTCCATCTGTGATATGTGATAGCACTCGCAAACTGTAGTCCTCACAGCCTCGGCTCCTGCCATCAGCTCTTCACGGCTTCTTGTCTTCTAGACTTCAGCTTCTCTAGGGTCTGTCTTCCTCTCAAAGCTTTCCACCATTTTTTCTGATCTTAGTTCTACGCAGCCTTCTGCCCTTGGTCATTTTCTGGAATTCTTCAGATGCCTCCTGGTGTTACAGCCTGGAGTTTTGAACATTGCAGCGAGAGCCTCAGCTCCTGGTGACTCCCTCCAAGTCTTCAGTCACCTCTTTATTATTGCTACCATTACAGGGTTGGGCTCTTTATGCAACCAATACAGCACATCCTACCTATGACAGAACCATAAGTAGGCAAAAGACCATTCAAGAGAAGCATATATTGGGATAATGTCCTAGACCAGAAGACCCTGACAGGAAAGACTATCTATCTATATACATACATACATGTCCGCATGCGTGTGTGCACGCACGCATGCACGCGCACACACACACACACGTACATATGTCTCTCAAACCTTACTTATGAGCCAATCACAAGCCTCAAATTGCAGCAAGCACCGACTTTTTGCTGGGTCATGGGACAGGTTGTCCCCTTCCCCTCCTGAGTAAACACTGCTGTCAGTTGAGTTACAGAGTTAGTGAGTTAGTGTTACAGAGTTCATAGAATGGAGTCTTCCAAAGCCACTGGGAGTTGCCTAGAATCTGTGTGACTGCACTGAGGACTCTTAAGACAGGAACTCTGGCTCTCACAGCTCCTGTGGTTGCAGAAATCCTTGGCTGTTGGAGTGGTGTTCCTTCAGAGTAACGATACAGAGTTCAGAACAGCCAGACTTCCAGAATTGCAGTCTGGCCACTTGCCAACGATGATGATGCTTGGCTGGTAGCTTCCCACTCAAGACAGCCAATAAGAGCAGGGTCTGGTGGCTGTCATTCAGGGGGCCAAACAGCCTGTTTCCAACAGGTTTGCTCATTCACAGGAGAAAAAGTGAAGACCGCGTTAACATTGCTAACGGTATTTAAGAATGTGTGCCTCCTCCGTTGGCTCCTCTCATCTGTCCCCCTACCTGAAGAGGTCTGTGTTATTCGACCGAAGCCAACAGCATCAATGGCATCCCACTAGGCTTGCTGTGACCCTCCCTCCATCAGCAGAGGAAACCAAGGTTGACTATAAGGGCAAATTCGGGGCCTAGCTGAAGAGCCCAGAGAGAGAGGGAACAAAGTGAGAAGAAGGAAGAGAAGGAAGCGGGGTGTTGGGGGCTAGAGTGCTGATAAACGTGGGCAAGGGCTGGAAGGATATCACAACAGAAGGACAAGTACTTCACACTCGTCTACAAAATAAACCGGCTGTTTTACAGACCCAGTGATGAAACTAACCAGAAGTCCTGCTGGTGTTCTGGCTCTCGTTCTAAGTAGTGAAAGGCCAGAAGTAACAGAGTTGTAAAGAGACCTGGTTTTGAAAGCCAGCTGTGAAGCAGCGGCCTGCAAGAACACAACAAAACCTCTGTGTCATTTAAAATGGCGGTGTGTGACTCCTTCTGGTTTTGTGGTTTGTTTTCTTGTCCTTTCCGATAAAACTTAGAATTGTTTGATATGTTATTCAAAGTGGTAAATTGACATTTTTCTAGTAAATATATATATATATATATATGATATATACATATCTTATTATCATGTATTTTATAGTAGCTATGTAACACATCTTTACCCCAGTCCTAAAACTTAAGACTATGAAAGGTCTCCCCACTTCTGACCCACTCCCCCTTGGTCGCCAGAGACCAGAACCAGCTTCCAGCAAGTGATCTGGTAGTTGAAAATGGGGAGCTCAAAGAAGCCTCATGGACTCTTTTAGGTTGGCCCTAAACCTCCAAAAATAATATGCCCCATAGATAAGATAAACATGAACAATGGCATTTAATGTCCATTCCCAAAACCTCTCTTTAACCCAACTTTTCATTTTGGAGGGTGTTTTACTGTCAACACTGCCTTTTAAAAAAAAGTGCTGTTTTAGCCCCAACAACGTAGTTTGATTTAGGTAGTGATCCTGTGTTCAGCCCTGTTAAGTCCTTTACACGTGGGAGGACTGGGTGGAAAAAGTCCCCATTACTGAATGAGGTCAATCTTATTTGCTTATTTCATAACAAAATTGAACAATGCAAATGGATTTTTCAGATTCGGGGGCTAATAAAAATTTGTAAGGTCAAGAGCTATGGTGTGATATCCTAGTATCAAATCACTGGTATTGTAAGACGTATTGCACCATAAAGTGTGTTTACATATGTGTGCATGTGCTCAAGTGTGCTTGTGTGTGTGTGTGCGTGCATGTGTGTGTGCGTGCATGTGTGTGTGTGTGTGTGTGTGTGTGTGTGTGTGTGTGTGTAAGTATGTATGTGGCAGAATACAAAGAGAGTTAAATCATGCACACATTTCCTTAAGCATTATTTCACTAGAGGGCTCACTCGCCTTTCAGAAAGGAAAAAAAAATCCATGTTGTGAAACTATACAATACCTCTAAAGACAGATCTGCCTTGTTTAAGACTGTAGAACATTTTAAGGGCTATCATTCCTGTATGTCCTATAAAAACATAAATGGTCAATGACTTCCTCACTAGGTTTGATTAAAATAAAACATTTTAATCACAAATTTCTCCAAACTTCTCTCTCTCTCCCTCCCTTTATCTCTCTCTCTCTCTCTCTCTCTCTCTCTCTCTCTCTCTCTCTCTC